TTTTTTTTTTTTCTGTGGATATAAACAGTTGATAAAATCAGCTAGTTTATTTTAGAGGGTAACACAAAAAAAAAAATGAACAATTAAAAACTAAAGCCATTTAATAACAAATGGTAATGTGCAACAATAAGATGAATCTGTTTCAGACGTTAGGGGTCTCCTGACAAGCAGTATCGCTTTTGGCTTTTATGTGAAGAGAGGCAATATTGCCCTAACGATTTGGACAGAGGGGTGCAAAGTTTGAAGTTGATCAAACTTTTAGCCATTGTTGTTGAATGATGCTGCCTGAAGTGGAAAAGAGACTTTTATATGGTTTGCTGCTTCTGTTGTTGTTACTACTGCTACTACTACTGCTTGCGGTAGTCAAGAGAAGGCAACTTCTTTTTACTACTAATTTTTTTTGTCAGCAAGTGACCCTTTCACGGAAACCCGTAGAGGAAATCAACGGCGACCGTTTATCATAAGATGGGCAACGGGGAAGAGGAGGCGGTAGCAGTTGCACTACTGGTTCTTTGATTGTCTTCTGACAGTCATCTTCTTTGACAACGCATATTTTTTATCGTTATTTCAAATTTTGCCAACGTTTTCTTTCTTTTTTTTTTGTTTCTTTATTTAACGTCAAACTTTTTTTTTCATTTTAATCATTGAAATATACGTAAATGTTTGACGAAAAAAAGTGTCAAAATGTTACGTAATTACAGACTAGTGGGTGATATTGTTCTTCATGTTTTAACTCGTTAAAGTAAAATGAAATTAAACAAACTACGAATAACTGATTTGATATTTAAAAAAAAATCTTTTTATCGATTCAAAAATGTTTTATAAAAAAACTTTGCGGAAGTAGAAGAAAATTGTTTCTTTATTTTTTTATTTTATTTTTATTTTTATTTTTTTTCTGAATTTATAAATTATAGTTGGCTAATGGAATACAGTCTTAGCTTGTTTCCGGTGAACTTCTATTGATTGTATTGATGCAGCAACAATTTTAAAGAAAGTTCAACGTTGACTCACCTGCTGCGTAAACGTTATGCTGTTGTCACCGAATTGATATCACTTGAACGTCTGAGTATCTGATGAACTTCTTCTTTTCTTAACTGATTTCAGCTTCTGTCATCATCTGACAATATTTCATCTACGTACAAAAATAATTTTGCTTTTGTTTTCCTTTTTTTGATAAAAATAATCGGCAGATTTTTTTTGACTAATAAATTATTGAAAAATCATTACTTTTTTTGGGTTTATTTTTTTTTTTTTATTAAAAAATTTAAAATATTACAGCTCACTTTTACACTGTACTTTTAAGTTTTTTTTGATTTTGTACCTTCCCCTCTATTTCTGTTACGCTTTTGACTGGTTAACAGTCCCACTCAAACACTACAAATACGTTAAGAAGATGAAAGCTAACGGAAAGTTAAAAAAAGAAGTTAAAAAATGTTACGTTTAGCGTTGTAGCCTTTTTTTCTCTCATTAAACTGACCCAAAATTTCTTTTTGTTCTAGATATTTTTCACATATAGGTATTAGTTTTCAGAAATATTTCATTCCAATAAAACATCAGTTTCCAATTATTTCGCAAATAAAAAAAGGAAAGAAAAAAGGACAAAAGTTTTGAAGTATAACCTTAATTAGTTGTTAGCAATTAAACCGTTAATGTGAAAAACGAACTTCTAGAATCTCTTTTCAAAGGTGCTTCATAGAATCTTTTCCAGCCACTTCGTACAAAACAGAAACTGCTTTCCTTTTATTTATATTTTTCTTGTCTTTTTTTTTGCTGCTTGTCCTCGTTGTTCCATATCTCAACGACTATGCGTACAACGGTACTTCCAGATGAGTTAGGCGAAGGAAGCCTGTAAATAATCTGCTGATAAAAGATGATAAAGTTGAATTGAAGTGAAAACGTTAACTTGCTGACTGGAGTTGTTTCAATACCTTCAGTTTCTTTTTGAGCAGATAATTATTTGGACGACTACAATTCCTTCTTGGAAATGTTTTATACATTTTTCTGCACCAGTTGTCGTTATCCTAGCTTTACTGATGAGGAATAACTTTGCTGTAGGCCTGAAAATTAGTGAACTGAAGAAAAGGAAGACTTTGAAGCATTTTTTTGCATTCTCCGTGTTATGAGATCGATTAATTTTCTCAAGTAATTTCTGTGGTTATCCATTTCTTTTTTAACTGATGATCAAAACAATTTTTTTTGCAAAATTTTTGGGCTCTTAATCAGCTAAAAAATGGCTCCGACAGAATCAGTTGCCCGATTTTATCCCATATAAGTACACATCATTAATAATGCTTATTTTTGCTCCCATTTTAACTGATGGAGAAGGATCCCTAATTTTTAAAAATAAAAACTACCGGAGTATAAGGAGAACAATGAAACATATATACTTCGTCTTATTTAGTAAAGATTACTATAAAGAAGATGAATGAATGCCATTTTTTTCCCTTTCTACGTCGTTAATTAGTTTTTCATTTACAACGAACTTATCACTAATTTTTTAAAAAGCATTTCACTTAACAGTGCTTACAGCCATTCTGCTGTTTCGTGTTCTTATGCATGCAAAGAAAAAAAAAAGCTTAGAGAATTTAGTTTGAATAATTCTTAAAAGACTTAACCAGTTAATTTCGAAGCCGTCTGTAATACTACTGGGATGCAGCGATTTGCTCTACAGAATTTCGGCGTCAGTC